CAATGCATAACCTAGGTCCACCACCAAATGGCATATAGGCGTAGGGATGGTGTTTAGGTTGAATCCAACGTTCAGGTAAGAAGTCATTAGGGTTGTCCCAATATTTAGGATCCCGGTGCAATGTGTAGGTACTAACAGTCATAGAAGTACCAGCTGGTATTGTAATACCTATAAATAAATTATATTATTAAAAATATACAGTATATTAGAAAACATTATTTGAAACATTACAGTATATTAATGCACTATATAATTTAGCCTTGGTTAATTTTTAAAATTTTAATATTTAATCAAATGTCAACAAATTTATAAATATAATTTAATTATTCGATAATTGATTAAATATTTTAAAATATAATTACAGTATGGATACTAGAAAATATTATACAAAATCGAGGGTTAAATGTAATAATTATAAAGCTACTCAAAGTGGACATTTAAACACTATTGACTTGTGAATTTGAAAACGTAAATATAAAATCATAAAATTTAATATTTATTGATTACCTGTATTTCCGAGGGGGTAGTCCTCAACACATACCCGAAATAATCGTAAAAACGACGGCGCGAATCGTAGGGTCTCATTGATGACTGCATTCAAGTACTTCAAGTGAACCAACTTTTCGTACGTAAACTCATCGCATGTTTTCAACTCATCGTACAGTTTCTGTTGACACTCCGGGTGTTGGGTTAAGTAGTATATGGCGTGGGTTAGGGCGGCACTGGTAGTATCGTAGCCGGCGACGAAAAATAGGATACCCTGGGCTACCATTTCATCAATAGACAATGTCCCTGATGGCTTTTTAAATGTCTGTTCAGTGCTTTTGTCGTCCGGTTCCCCATCACTGATAGAGTCGTATCCGAAGTCTTTGTCCGACTTTTCCGAGTCTATCATCAATTGTATGAAATCTGTGCGACGTTTGGCTATAAATGTAAAAATATAATTTTTTAACATTTAATTATGATTTAGATTTTGTTTGTATAACTATTACTTACAAATACTATTAGCTTTATGATTATTATGTAGTTTGCGTTCATCGATGATCTTTTTGGTCAAGTCATCGAAATAACGACAGGCGCTCATATCGAAGGGTTCGGCGCCTATTAGCCGTCCCAACGCCGGGAACAGCGCCGACACGACGATACCAATGCTCGCGTCGACACTCAATATCTTGCGGGCGTTGAGTACCAGCGGATGGTTAGGGTTTTTGATGGACTCCACGTCTATGCCGTACGCGCACCGGGAGATCACGTCCATAGCGAAAGCCCCTACGTGTTTCCGTATGTCTATGGCTTCACCTAGGGCACAAATTTAAATAATAAATTATTCTGTTACTATAAAGTATTATTAATTCAGTTTATATACTAAAATTTCTAGAGTAAGTATTATGAGCTAATTAATACTCAAAAACTAACACATTTTTTACCATAACTAGGAATGAAAAAAAAGTGGGTATCCATTAAATGAATGACCCCTCAAATATTATAATTTATTAGTAATTTTTACCAATAATAACTTTTGTCACAAAATTTATTAATGCATCGAAAATTCATT